CTCTCTGAAGACCGTGCGTAGCTGCGTGATCGAAAGTTTTGTCTATGCTCGTACAATTTATCTAACTTTTATAGCAACCACAGCAACGGCAGTGGCAACCAACAGAAAAAAAAGAAACCAACCATTCGCTGGTTTGGCCAGAAATTAATTGCAAAACTGTATGGCATGTGGGGAAGGCGGGTAGRGGGCGTGTCAGAGGGCGGTCGAGTGTAGCGGGAGGCCAATCACAATGAGCGTTTGCCACTTGAACAACATAAAACTGATTGCTGTAAATCTGGCCCATTGGGTCCGGCCAACCCGCTCCCCTGCAGGCCCCAATCGTGCATTGTTTGGTTCGTCAATTCATGGGCTGTGCTTGTCGTGGCCATTGTTGACACGTTTAAGTGCCGTTTGCTTTTATCAACAGCGTCCACAACAACCACAACAGCAAAGCGAAGCCCAAATTGAGGCCTCAATAGCTTCAGAGCCACTGCCACTGCCAAAGCCAGAGCTGCAGCAGTTCGAGCCGACAGCCAGAGCCAGAGCCAGAGAAAGACCCAAAAGCGACGTGCACATAACATTTTTACAACGTTTTTAATTGTTTTTGTCAACTGTGAATTTCGTGGCGCTCTTGAATGTGGGACGAGCCATCAATTTAATGGCATTTTCGCGTGAGGCACAAAATCAAAGCCGCGCGGCAATGGCAACGGCAAYGGCAACGGCCAYGCCAGCTGCCAGTCTGTCAATTAATGTAGATAACATTTTATGATGAGCAGTGACAAGTCGTCTCGAAAATGACAGCGCATTACTCGCCCATTGGCGGCTTGTTTATTGCGTCCTTAAGCCCGATGCGCAGCCACCATAAAAACATAAAACTGATGCATAGTTTTTGGCAGCTCTAAGCGATATCATTAATTGCACGCACACACTTCACATGTAGCTGGCCAATAGATGCGCGATACAATCACAGACAATTTGCCCGGCGCACGATGCGTATGCGTAATTACATGTAGATAAATAAATAATATGTCATTTCGTTGGCGGGTGTCATAAAGCTCATTATAGCTCTAAGATATTTATCGAAATGGTTTCTAATTCGAGCAGAAGCTCTTCTAAAGAGCACTAAACTAGACTTTAACTGTGGTAGTTTAAGGTTTGTAGATGCAGAAAGTTGCCTAGAAATATTTATTCACATTCCAGAATAGCAATGATATGTATTGTAATCCCTTTTGAAATATTATGTATCAATATATATGAAAAACTTTCTAAGTAGTCACACGGTTTGTATAAATTAGATTTATGTCGTTTTCAGTAGCTCCATTTGTATGTAGATGTATTTCTAGCACATTACAAATTTATTTATCCCAAGCTGTGTGCTCATTCAATTCAGTTTCACGCAATTACTATTACCTTAATTCGATTCGAAAGCGGTTTTCATCCCTGGCGCTTTGGCATAAACTAATCTGATACTAATTTG